ACAATATAAGATATAATAATAAAGTAAGAAAAATAATATAACTATTTAATCGGAAGAAAACCAAGGGTAACAGTTTTTCCCCTTCTAAATTTCAAAGTTCCTTTTGGAACTTTCCTTAAACTCACACATCTCTTTAAATTGTCGATTATTTAAATGAGCAATTTTTCTAAATGTTATTTCTTGAGTATAATAAATTTGATCAGGATTTGTCAAGAATAGTTGATATACTCGGGTTACTCCATTATAAATAAACTTCTCATTTAAAATAAACTTTTGACGAACAAGATCTATTCATTTAGTACGAGGAGTAACAGATGATTCAATAAGTTTTCCCATGTGAAAAGCATATACTAATGCATTAATTCGTTGTTTTTGTTGCGAAGCTTGTCGAGTGGCATTGTAGACTTTAATTATAGCTTCATATCAAGTTTCATCAGGTAGATACGGACATTCAATAGGCTGAATAGGATATAATCCAACCATAATTAGGTCAAGTTTTAATAGGGTTACTTGTTGATTATCCATGGTAAAATTTGTAATTTTTAGAGGTTCAAGTCCTTTTTATTAATTTTGAAGTTACGCATAAATCCATCGTAACTTGTTTTGAGGAGGCTGGTTTCAAATTTCAATTTAAGGTTACCAAGTAGTATGTGATAAATAAGGTTTGAGTCGATTAGCATGTACTACTTCTTTTAGGGATTGTTCAAATTGATTATGTAGCACATAAGCTTCTTTAGCTAAACATTTATATACTTTAAATAGTCCTTTCCATTTTGTATTCAGTTTGCCAGACCATTGTTTATCTAATTTGAAATCATACATTAGAACTAGATCACCAGGTTGATATCAAATTATTTTTGTAAATTTTACAGCATGTCGTGCTTTCTGTTGTTTTTGAGATTTCCTAATATTACTATGGGTGATTTCGTGTTGTTTTGGTAACTGATCTATCAAATCAAAAGCTCATTGTATAATAGTATTTTTAAGGTCAAATTCAACATTATAGTTATCCCCAGTTACTTCAACTGGTAATTTTATTTCTCGTCTATACAATAGAAAGAATGGGGTAAACCTTGTTATATTGTGTTTATGAGTTCGATAGGCAAATAACACAGCAGGTATATATTCATCCCAATTCATGGTATCTTTCAATTTTCCTAATGCAATTCCTAAGGTCCTGTTTAATCGTTCTACCATACTATTGATTTGCGGATGGTAGGGAGAAGAAAATTGATGTTGTATTTTAAATTTATTATATAGGTATTTAATCATTTGATTTTTAAAATATGTTCCATGGTCAGATAGGATTGTTTAAGGCGTACCATAGCGACAAATAATATTGTCATATATAAAATCAGCTACAACTTCAGCACTAGTTGTAGAGAGAGCTCGGGCTTCAGGTCACTTAGTTAAATAATCGATTGTTACTACAATATATCTATTTCCTCAAGCCGTTCGAGATAAAGGTCCAACTATATCAATACCTATTCATTCGAATGGTTGTCCCACAGGAATAGGATGTAAAAGTTCAGTTCGTATTGGTCATTCAAACCTTTGACAATTATCACAAGTAGATACATAAGCTTTAATGTCCTTATACATTTGAGGTCAATAATATTTATCTTTTAGTCGTTGAAATGTTGCGTCAGTTCCCAAATGTCCTGAGGTAGGATGAGTGTGCATTATATCAAATAGAGGTTCCAATTCTCCTCTGGTTATTACTTTTATTAATTAGGTATTTGATTTTTGAGACTTTTAAATAACTGATTGTTTGAAATTGTAAAATGTTGAGATTGAGAAAGTAATTGTTTACGATCACGTGGTGAGATATTTGGGAAGTATTGTTGAGTGTTTAAATAAGAATATATATTTTGATATTGAGTTAAATCTATTTTTGCTAGGACACCGACTACCTAGACTGTATTGAGTTTATCATCAGAATTTCAATAAATTTTATAATTTGTAAAAATTAAATCCTGAACAAGACGTCTGCGTTTTTATTTTCCTTTCCAGGTCTGTGTTTAATTTTAAAATCATAAGTTTGTAAACGTAACATCCATCGAGCTTGTCATCCTTTTAGGGGACTTGTTCGTAACCAGGTAAGTGCAGAATGATCAGTGAGAATAACAAAAGGTTTTATTCCCAAATAGTGGTGAAAATGCTCAACAGCCCAGATTACTGCCAAACATTCTAATTCGGTTGCAGAGTAATTTTTTTGTGCACCTTGTAATCTTCTACTGACATAGGTAATGACTTGTTCCAAGTCATTTTCATTTAATTGGGTTAGGACTGTACTAAGTCCTTCAGCAGATCCGTCGGTTAATAAATAAAATGTTTTAGAGAAATCAGGGTGTGCAAGTATAGAAGAAGTGGTTAATTTTTCCTTTAAGATTTCAAATGCATGTTGGTGCTCACTTTTCCATTTAAAGATTTCATCTTTTCGAGTTAGTTGGTGTAGAGATCAAGCAATTTGAGAAAAGTCCTTTATAAATTTGTGATAATAGGAAGCTAATCCCAAAAAGCTTCGTACTTTAGTAATATCCTTAGGTCAAGGGAAATTTTGGACTTTATTAATTTTTGCGGGGTCAATAGAGATTCCTTGGTCACTGACAATATGTCTAAGAAATTCAATTTGTCGTTGTAGGAAGTGATATTTATCAGGTCCTAGTTTAAGTCTTGCAGCTCGTAATCGGTCCAATACTTCATTTAATTTTAATAAATGTTTGTCAAATGTTTTGAAATAGATATTGATGTCATCCAAGTATACAATGACACCTTTATATAATAACCTATTAAAGACTTGATTCATAAGTTGTTGGAAAGTTGCAGGGGTATTGGTAAGTTCAAAAGGTATTACAGTAAACTCATACGTTCCTTGTTAAACAATAAAAGCAATTTTCTCTTGGTTGCTAGGGTTCATTTCAACTTGCCAATATTCACTAGCTAAGTTGAGGGTAGTAAACCATTTTGCTCCTTGCATAGCACTTAACATGTTATCTACTCGAGAAATGGGATAAGCGTCCTTTTTGGTAATAGCATTAATCTTTCTATAATCAACACAAAGTCATTGTTCCCATTTTTCTTTTTAACAACAACTACAGGGGAGGTTCAGGGGCTAAAGGATTTCACAATTAGTTCCTTTTTCAGTAGTCGCTCGATTTTTTCTTCGAGAAATTTTTCCTCTACAGGATTAGTCTGATAAAACCTTTGTTTAATAGGGAGTTCGACACCAGTATTAATTTGATGTTGAATTATATTAGTTCATCCCAACTGACTAATATCATTTGCAAACAAATCCTTATTTTTATTAATAAGTTCATCAAATTTGTTTTTTTGTTTGGGACTCAATTTTTCAATATTTAATTTAGCTTTAGCTAAGGAGTCTCCCATCATTACAGGGACTTCCTCTAGGTCATCAATATCAATGCTGTCACTGATTTCTTCGTCAGTTGATTCATTGTCAACTTCACTATCCTTTTCATTTATCTCAGAGGCCAATTCCTCATCAGTATATTCCACACAATCCTCAAAAATATCATTATTATTGTCATCATCAATATCACTATCGTTATCAGAAATACTTCCTTCTGATTCAATTTCACTTTCATGTCCACTTTCAGAAGAGTTACTGTCCTCATCACTAGTGGTTTCAGAAGTTTCTATAATATTTTCTTTCACACAGGAAATAGGTAGAGTTAAATATTTATTCCTCCATTTTAAGGTTAATTCCTGGTTTTGCCAATTGTAGTTACCATTAGCCTTTAAAAGTCAATTGTTTCCTAGTATAATGTTGTAAATAATAGATTTAGTTACTTCAACATCAATAGGAATGATATATCCTTCTACAGTTACAGGGAAGTCGCGGATAACTCCCAAGGGTCAAGTGTTTTCTCCTACAGCTGGTAGAATTATACTGTTGGAAGGTTCATTCACAGAGTATTCCAATTGTTCCATGGTATCCTCGGTAATTATACTTACTGCAGCACCACTATCAACAATAGCAGGTACAGAGTATTTATCGATATGGACAGTACATTTAAGTGAAGTTGCCCGAGGTTGGTATTCCTGAGCAGCAGTTTTACCATCAACTTTCCAAGGGGCTTTTAAGTTTTTTAACAAAGTTCGCTTCATTCCAGGAAATTGGAATAACTGTGACCAAGTAATTTCAGCTTCCTGTTTTTGCATTTGTTCGACAATGTCAAATTCCTTAGTGCGCAATAGACAGGGTACTTCCTTGTTTTTTTTTTTTGTAAGTTTTCCCTTTGACTTTTTCTTTTTAGAGTCCTTTTTCGATTCAGTTTTAACTTTGTTGTTAGCCTTAGACTTGTTTTGAAAGGGGATTCCAAAGGTATTTACCTCAGAAATTTTAAAATAATCACCAGTTCGAGGCTTTTTAGTATTCTCATCAGAACTGTCCTCATCTCGTTCGTGTTTACCGAGATAAGCTTCCAGAAGTTGATTCAATAACCCTTCCTCATTACTATTGAGGTCATTATCATTTGTTACTTCAGCAAATTTGACTGGAGTGTTCTGATAATTATTATTCCGGTTATTATTGCAGTTGTTGTTATTGTTTGAATTGTTATTATTATTATTATAATTATTATTACTATTATTATTTTGGTTATGGTTATTACAGTTTCGAGAGATAAATCCTTCTTGTTCACAGTTATAACAAACAGGAGGGAGCCGTTCATTGCGAAAATTATTGTTGTTATTTTGATTATTGAAAGGTCAAATATTATTATTATAGTATTGATTGCCTGAGTTATTTGAAGGAAAAAAGTTTCAGTTATTTTCCCATCGGTTTGTTTGGTTATTCAATTGATCAATTTTTTGAGCCAAATTAATTTGGAATTTTTCAAATTTTTGAAGTCATCCAAGTCTCCTTTTTCCGTTAACTTCTTTTTCTTAGTCTCTTTTTGTCGAGGTTTTTCTTTCTCTGACTCTGACTCAAGTTCTTTTTGAGACCTTCGAGGTTCCTTTCGTTTCACTACATCTTCACCTGCTTTATACTTTCGAATAAGGTCCACTGCAGTTGTGATATCAGCAGGATCGTTCATCATAATTATTGGTGCGAGCTCTGGTTATAAGCCTTTCACAAAATAACGCATTTGATCAGCAGCTAGCATTTCGGCTATTTTATTAATTTTTCTAATAAGTCGTCTATGAGCAGCATAGTAAGTGTCAATGGCTTCGTTACTGTTTTGTTGTAGTTCCTCTAATTCTCGATGCCACTTGTTAATCCATCGGAAGGTACAAAAGAATTCTTTAAAGGCTTGAAGCCATTTGGCCTAAGTGGTAGCAGTTGTCGTTTCACACCATTCCTCTGTGTTATCTCGTAAATGAACTTTTAGCATAATGACTTTTTGATTATTATCCCAAATATTTATTCGAGCAGCTTTTTCAAAGTCCTCTATTCACTTTAAGGGATCTTGTAATCTATCACTATAGAAAGGTTCTACGCGAACTGTAGTACCTTCTAAGTTTTGTTGTAGATAAGTTAATATATGTTGATTGGTAGTCATGTTGTTATTATCATCTTGGTTGTAGTTATAATCATTGTGATAATAAGTGGAAGAATTATTATCGTTGTCAAAGTTATAAATATTGTA